GTTTTTATGAAGCAAGGATGTCAGCTAAATGTCAGATTGTTGCTTTGTTGTCCTCCTCGCTCATCAGCCGAACCCTGTCATAAATTGTAATTTAATGCTGAATCATGCAATGAAGCGTGGCAGTTTTTTAGCTGACTGCAAAGTAAAGGCAGGGAAACTATCACCTTGGCGCTGTCCTAGCATTGGTGTGTAAGTGTGTGTGTGTGGGTGTGTGTCTGTGTGTCTGTGTTTTCTGGCTTTGAGTATGCGAGTGAGAGTGAGTATGTGCATGTTCCAATTTAATGCCATCATCATCGCCAAGGTCAGGGGACGAAGGCATTTGGGCCATGTGCCAGAGCAAGCTGTGACATGAGGAGGACAAAGCCATAAAGTACATTTGATGTGTTTTACCATAACTTTGCTACAGGCTCTCCAGCACTAAAGCTACAGCACTGGATAATGACTCCTCTTGGGCCTATAATTTAAAATGTCATGTCCAACCTTTGGAGTACTGAGAGAAAAACACACTATATATTTTTATAATTTAGGAGATGATTGATGGAAATTCGCATGAGTTGGGCCACGGCTTTATAGCCATGGGAAAGTGGTTTCAGCCTCTCAAAGTGGACATGAATGAGTCCTACATTTCTGCTCTGCTTGAGGTACTTTTCACATAACTGCTGGATCCAATTTGTTCGGTGAGTTAGCAAACGTCACTGTACTTTTAGTCTGCCGCTGTTAAAATGTGATTTTCGGTGTTATAAATAAACTGTGTGTTAACACACATGGGTACAACTTATTGAACATTTACAATACAAGAACATGTCAAGCAGTTGCTTTCACAGCTGTAGCTCAGTGCACTTAACATGAAACACTTTAATTGTTAACATCAGCTGTGTAAGCCTTGTATTCAGCTTTACTGTACATGATTTAATTTATTTTCATCTCCAACATATGTAAAGCTTACATTTAATCAATATCTGTGGTAAATGTTTCTGACTGAGACTTGCCTGCTTATTAGGTTCATCAGGCTTAGACTAAGACACTCTTTTAAAACAACCCTGAACAAAGATTGTATCAGGAGGTTATATTGTATAATAATGATTACATTTAGTCTGACAGATGTTGATGTAACTTGCACTTACATGCACTCGCTGTCTAATTGCAATGACTTGAGTTATGCATCAAACCATATTTTATAGGTTTGATAACAGTGCTAACATTAAATCCCAAATGTCCGTGTTTCCCTTGTGTCGACTAAACCAGTCACTCATATCATCCATGGCAAACCTCATCTTTCTGAGATTACATCGGTAAACATTTATCTTTATTCAGTCAGAGAGGTCCTTCATGGTTCAAACCATCGATACAAAAAGATCAACCCTCTCTCAGAGGCCAGAGGGATTTCATTTCTATGCTAGGTAAAGCATGACAGGATTATCTCTGTAATATAAAAATGATTCAGGCATTTTGTTCCATGGTATTGCTTGTCGTTCCACCTTTCCATCATGGTTTGGTCAATCCTTCCCCTACTGTTTATTTCATCATTACCCATAAGGAGAGGGGCTTCTTACTTCACTGAACGTCAGTAGTGAGTGAGCAAGGATTCTGTTGTGTTGATAACTGGCCTTTTTACTTGGGCTGCCCTGACCGGCTGAAAGTGGTCGGCCTCCACCCTACTGCAATTAACACAGCTAATTTATGGAGGAATATAGACAGGTGTTCATGTGAAGTTAGACATTAGGGACTTAGCGCTGGGCAGGTTGCAGGTGATTAGAGATCATCAGAGGGCCTGCCCACTAGCTAAATTCATATGACCAGCCAGGGAAATCATCAGACTGATAGCCAGGTTAACAACATTGAGACTGTCTCCTTCCCCTGCCATATTACTCACAAATTCTCTATACCTAAACATCGGAATCACAAACATCTCAAAGCACATGTTAAAGCCTTTCAAAACTAAATATCTAAGGTAATCACAGTGTTATCCCCACACTATCCATGCACAGGTCACCAACATGTTCTACTAACAATATAACTATATCATAATCTTTTTTGGCCCTCTGCTTTTCTCTTTTAAAAAATGGTCAATGAATTAATTTCCACTGCTATGATGACAATGAGAGTGAGCTGTATTTTCCTTTAAAGGCAGATGACATTCCCAAAGTATACATTAAGAGGTTTTTGGTGTGTGCTCTAAAAAACTCAATGCCATGCACTTTCCTGCTCAGCCAGATTCAGCCTTTTTTCAGCCAACATAGTTACATTTCAGTATTTTCCATCCATGGCCCTAACTCGTGTTTTTGTTTCATTGGATTACTGTAATGTTGTTGTTGCCGGGCCTGCCGTGTGCTGTACTATTATTCTTCAGATTGTTAAAAAAACTCGATTTCATTGCAATATCAATAAAACTTGACTTTATTAAGCCAATTTGACCTTGGCTCCCTGTTCATGCCAGATCCGCTTAAGGGTGCTTTTGAGGAACTCTAAAGAAAAGTGTGTGGCCCAGGTCTTATATGTTTAGCAATACCTGGAAGATTCTTGACATATTCCTGGATCTGTATTTTTCTAATATGTTACCAATCTATCTATAATATTCTTATCATGACTAACATGTGTTGCATATCTTGCCACATATGTTGAGATGTGGTGAGATGTCTCCCACCTCTGTTGCTCTTAATGGTTTCTAATCTGTGTCGCACGCGGGGGGTGTGTGCTAGTGGACTAAACGGCGGATAAACTGTGGCGCGCTTACAATAATTGCGCCGCATAAGCGCATAACAGTGCGCCGCATTTGCGCTTCAGATGAGGAGGTGAGGCCCCCTGATAACTGCATGAACCCATATGGCACAATACAACTCAGTCTAGCTTACCTGTACGCAGTGGCGTTTTTATATGTACAAAAGTGGTGGGGCACAAAACACGTAGATGTCTATATATAAGCTTCTGCAGTGAGGTTCATGGCTAGTGAGGCACTGGCACTGACTCTTCAGGTTTACAAATATTATATTTTGACCTAAATCAAAATATAATATTATTTTCAAAAGCTTTTTTTTTATCTGATGCTTCAATTAATTTTAAACAGACAGTTCAACAAAAGGATACCCAAACGATGTAATTTTATCATTTAAATATTTAATTGTTCTCTCTTAGTAAGATCCCATTTTCAATAAAATTGCAGTCTTACCTTGAATTGAAGATTAAGTCCATTTGCCTATCCTTCTGGACAAAAATCTCTATTACTTTTTTGTAAAAGTCCTCCTTATCTTCTTGTAGTTTCAAAAGTCTATCATAAATCTAATCTAATCAATAGATTTATGATTCTAAAATTATAAAAGTAGGGTAGACATGTGGATATTATCCGGCTGAACAAAACGTGCATTTATCTAACAGGTTTGTTTCCCACAGATCTTATTTTGAGCTATTTTCTAAAATCCTATGGAGAAATCTCATTGCTTTTTTGTCGAGGGAAGCCATGCGCAGTTTACTTCCGGGTTTTAGGACGCGTCACTGCAGCTCTCTCGTCTCCTCTTCACACACCACACTTTTCGCGGCACACGTACTTACAGCCAATCAGCTCTGAATTATGTGAGATGACGTATGGTGGGGATGGCAGCACTATGCCCCAATGGTCATTATTTTTTTGCCACACACATTAAATAGGACAATACTCTGAGCATGCGCAGTGTAGTTTTTACAGTCACCATTGACTTAAACAGGGAGAGGGAGGGGCAGGGTTGCGTTCCGATAATCCAAAAATCAGCTCCTAAATTCTAACCCTATCTCCTATTCCTTGACCTCTGAGTGAAACGTCACGGGGTTAAGGGATAGTGGATAGGAGAATTCAAAAGGATTTAGGAGAAGAGACTGCGGTGCTTAGAGAATCCGAATGCACTTTCACTATCCGACGTGTTTATGATGCGCCAGCGGACGTCATGAATGTGCGTCTGCTGCTGTCACTGCCTGTACGTCAATCAAGTGGCAAATGCCATAGTAAGCATGGATGATAGGCTAACTTTTGTTTTCTTTTTTCAATGCCATGCGATCTATCCACACTACCTTTGCGATCGACCGGTCGATCGCGATCCACGTATTGGGCACCCCTGGTGTAGAGACAGTGAACTAATTTGAGGCAAATGTGTGATATACTGTAGGGCTATGCAGATAAATGGAACAATTTAACTTTGCCAGGAAATAATTTTCTCAGAGCATATTCCTATGGCTCAAGTTAAGGTGCATACACATTTATAGCCTAATGAACCTTACAAATGTCAAGAAGATGAAATATCACCATCCAGTTATTCTATGTGTAATGTGGCTTAAATATAGAGTAATTTAAAAGCACTCACTTGATGTATTTAATGGCCATTTAATGTAATGAGACATAATCATAATTACCTCTGCTGTTCCAGCCTCATACTAAACATTTATTTATATATTCAAAGGCTTTTTTCAGTCCTGAATTCAGCTTTTGTAGATTTTTTTTTTATGGAACAACAAAAGACAAACGAGTGCTTGCTGTTTACTGTTAAAACATTGAGGCAATTACAATGTATGTTTGAGTGTGAGCAATGGAAGCAGTTTGAATACATTGTGTGCTATATGAACAGTTAAAGTTGGGAACGTTTTTTTCGCAGGCTGTTTTTATTGTTGGAAATCAAAACTACTAAAGTGTCACAACCTATAGCAGATATTTGGATGCTGATTGTGGACCTCATAATCAATACAGGTGAAAGACAGACAGAAATATACCGAAAGAAAATAATTGACTTCATGGGAACAATGCAAAGCCATAACTTTCCTTTCCAATTTTAAGTCTAGCTTACGGCTCAAACACCTTGACATATTCTGACATCTTTCATGACTCAAACCGGTCTAAAACGTGATGCTGTAGCCAATTATTGAGGGTCAATCATCCGCATGCTTTCTCTGTATTTTCAGGAGCTTAAATTCATACTCTGCTGCTAGGTCAAGGACTACATTTATAACTTCAACTGTGTCTGTTTTCTTTGAATCTCCATGTTTGACCGACCTTCTGCCTCCGGCCACGAGGGAACGCCCTCCTGGGTGTAAGACGGTGTTTGTTGGCGGTCTGCCCGAGAACTTCACTGAGCAGCTCATCGTGGAGGTCTTTGGACAGTGTGGGGATATTGCTGCAATCAGAAAGAGCAAGAAAAACTTCTGCCATATTCGATTTGTTGAGGAGTTCACTGTGGACAAGGCTCTTCTCCTCTCTGGTGAGATATATGTACTCTAAAAACGATGGTAACTCTTTTACCCAGGTTTCCAAATGCTCAAACTCAATTATACTGTCATGTTTGGGATCATATCTTTTTATTAGAGAAAGAACATTTTGTGTCCAATGACAGTTTGTTGTTTTTTTGCCATATCGTCTCTGTGGTGCAATGGAAACCCCAACAAACTTCCAACCTTGTTTCTAGGTATGTATTGGTTTACATTGGGCTGAAAGGTCAGAGGATAACAGCTTTCTTTCTTAGCCACCTGGACAATATTGAATCTGTAGAGACCGCTTGGATTGTCAGTCCACTGCTATCAGTGCCCCGGGCGCTCCTTCATCTGAGGTGGAGGAAGAATGATGAGCTGTTAACCTTTACTCTGATGGAAATGAAAGGGCTGATATCTATCATTCAGCACTACGATTCTCCAGCCTCACACATTCACTCGGGACCGTCTGACAGATGGATAAATAGATGGAGGGGTGGAAGGACAGATAGATGGAAAGTTTGCTGCACTCCATACAAATTGTTTGGGAGTGAACAACAATGGATATGTTGTTGAAGAAAAAAACAGTCATGTGTGTCGGGAAACCAACATGAGACAGAATGAATAGACTCAGTCATGATCTTTTTTATATTATATATATATTTAATCTCCAGCTATATATTTACTTTGTTGTATTTTCTGCATTATTGGTAAATTACTTTTATTATTATTATTAATAAGCATACAGCTTTTCTTTAAGGGTTACATCAGGTTATGGTCTTAATACATTTTCTTTTGCACTTGGGACATCAATTCTCTGCAAACAGACTAAATTATCCTCAATTTGACGAACACTTTATCGCAAATGTAAAATATTCTCTATCGTATAGGGATTAATTAGTGAACAGATTTACAGTTGCAATACTTTTACAGACATAGGTTAAGCTCATAAATATATTCCCAACAGTCCCTGCATTTATTTCTCCATGAAAATATCTTGAAAAACTCCCACACCATTCGAGAAAAACATTGTTGCCTGTAAAAATAGCTGAAAATGCAAGTATCTAAACGAAAATGAGCATAACATGCTCCTTTGAACCTTGCGATTCAGAGCGAAGGTGCAATAAACACATACATGAACTCAAGTCACATTCAGGTGACCTCTATTTCACCTTTTCTTTTTTACAAAATAGCTGAATACTGCCTTGAAACAGCTTTGTTTACATTCTTTCATTTTCTGTGATGGAGAGAATCGTTTGCAATTAGCTGAAGGTTCAGATGAGACGGCTTTGCTTGAAGTGTGTTACAGAGAACAAAACAACTACTATACAATCTCTACAAGCTTCGGAAACTTGTGTGTGGTGTTTTAACACGTAGTATTTACCAGGCCTTTATTTCATTTGCAGCCCTCTTCTTTTTCCAAATGTTTTTACACAGTACGTTTAAATATTTTTATTTTATTGGTTTAAATAAGTACTTTTGCTCAAGTTTCATGGATGCATCATCACCTCCAGTGATTTATATAACTGTTCAAATGGGCAAGCATGCAGTCATAATTACAGAAGTGAAGATGGTTTGTCAGTCAGTGAAATGTCAATGTATATTCTTTTTCAGTTTTTGATCGAGCTCTATGTCACCCAACTCAAATGGTCACACTCTTTAATCCTGTTTTTCAGGATCACACCACCATTTTTGTAGAATTTGGAAATCCTTCTGCTGATGGTATGCTTCTTTAACTGCTCCTTGAGAGGAAGGGTATGCTCTCTGTTTAGTCATGTGACACCAGATGTCCTTTTTTAATTTGATCTCAGTCCTGCAGCATCTTCTGCCCAGACCCCTTAAATCTCTCCATGTGAAATGCAGGCCATATATTCCCTCTTCACAAAGCTCATTTAAAAGACCAGCCACTGCAATAATACCCTCTGAATTATTTATTGTGTGAGTGTGATTCCATCTACCTCTTCCCTACAGAACGACTGGCACTATAAGTCCATCTATTAGCCAGATGACAGACCTGTGTTGCTTTCTCATAAATACTACTCTCTCAAACACATTTACACTTGACGTACTGAGGTCTCCCTTTATTAAATATTAAGGCAAGCCGAGAGCAGAAGAACAGACTGGAAAACAACCCAAAACTCACTCGAGTATCTTCTGCTCACACCCAAAACCAACTTTATCTCCACTTTCCTCCGATGAGAGTATGTTGATGTTTTTGGAGTGGAAAGTCAGGCCCAGGGCTTTCTGAGCTTGTTTCCTAGTTTGAGAGTTCACACTGTAAACACCCTGGCCTCTTACAGATCACTACACCAATCAATTAACAAAATCAGTGTGACTGCTCTTCACACCCACACACAGGCAGGGAAATGAGCTCTGAGTGTCAAGTGGAAGGCGGTGGGGTGATGAAGGGCTACCACTGTAATTTGTGTCCGTACATAAAGAATAACAAGCTTTAGAGACTCAAGGGCTCAGCTTTTGTCTGTTTATGTATCGGCCTCTACACCTGGAGAGTAGCTGCCCGTGAAAACAAAGAGGAAGGATGTAGATTTCTATCTGAAGGCAAATGAGGACAAGTTGACCTTGTGTGTGTGTAACCTTTTATCTTCGTATCTGTGTATATCTGCCTCTTTGTGCTTGTTACTTTGTCTGTGCTTATCTCTGTCTCTTAACTGTACATCTGAATCAAAATAGGTGTTGATGGAAATTGATATTTCACTCTGTTACCACTCTCATCCCATCGATTAAATGTCTCAGCTGTCTTTCATGTCCTCTGTTTTATCTCTACACTCTGTCTAATCCCCAGATTTCACCTTTTTTTATTTATTTGTCTCATACAAACCTCTCCTTCTTCTCCCCAGGTTACCGTATCCGTTTGGGCTCCAGCACAGACAAAAAAGACTCGGGCCGCCTCCACGTGGACTTCGCCCAGGCCAGAGACGACTTGTACGAGTGGGAGTGTCACCAGCGCATGTTGGCCAGAGAGGAGAGGCACCGGCGCAAAATAGAGGAGGATCTCTTCCGACCCCCCTCTCCTCCTCCCATCGCCCACTACTCTGAGCACGAGTGTAGTGAGCTTGGAGACAGGATCAAAGGTTGGTAGAGAAACATGACACATGCAGACTGAGTGTATGAAGAGCATGCAATCAAGGTGGCAAGGAGAAAACTTGGAGAAGTTGGCTTTAAAGATTTAAAGTGAATGCAAAAATGTACAAATTGTAATTAGCCATGCTACTGGCGTTTCTTTACATGTCAGTCAGTTGATCACCCACTTAAGTTTAGCCTGACACATGTATACACAACAACTATCAAATGGATTTCCATACAACTTGGAACACACACTCTTTTATACAGTCAATGGTAAAATGCTGCTGTGCCTAAGAAAAACTCTCTGTTGAACTAGCATGGCAATAAGCTGTCTACACAGACATTGTTTTGCTGCGTCATCTGTCCCACACACAACTGACAGAACAGCTACACTTCAGTGTGAAATAGTCCAACCGTCTAAACACCAACTGTCTATTTTCTCCTTTTTACGCACGTAACCACAGTGATTGTGATTTACGCTCCTTCCTTGAACACAGGCTGTGTAGAGAGGAAACGTAGGGCTGGTGCTGCTGCTCCGCTAACATGCTGCTTTCGCTACGTCTCCAGTATAAAGACGGTTTTAGTTCAAATTTCGGACTGCCATATAATTCACTCGGTATAGCTGGTGGTCCATATTCTGGGGCTTGGTCCCCGTGTGGAGGGAGCGGTTTGAATCCAGCCTTGGCGGCATTTGTCTTCTCTTCTATCTTTCCATTTCAACGTTGTCCCTTCAATAAAGGTGCGGAAAAAAATATAATAAACATTTCTGCTGATTTGTTTTATGTTGATTGGATCATCATATAATCACCGAATCACTGCAGCTATAGTCGACATCTCTTGGATATGTATACTTTTTAAATGTTACCCAGTGCAAAGCAAAATGAACTCCCGTAAATGGATGAAAAAAGGTTCACATTTATTTCGAGCCAGTAGTAACAGTATTCTAACTTCATCACATTTCATTAAGTGTTCACAATGTCTGCAGACTTTATATTTTGACTATACTTGTACTTTCAAAAGCGACTTGATACATGTTAATCATGTACCTTAACTTCAACTGGTTTAATGGCTGTGGTTGAGTATAGTTCCATATTTAAAGACGTACTGTATAGGCAGAGGGTGTGCGGAAGGGGCTTATGAGATGTGAGAATATTGTCGAGCCATTTAGATTCCTCATGTAATCAAACATGTTATGCAAGAGACTCCTCGTTGATCCGCAGTGACGTTCCTGTCCTTAACCTCTCCTCTTTGCTGTAACATTAAAGCTAGTAAAGCTTGGCCTGAAAAATCTCGAGAGATCCACTTGATATGGAGTGCTGCTAATTTGTTTGTAGATAGATGTGATGCCTTTGTATTCAAATACTCTGATAACCTGCTAATCGACCACTTAACAACCACCATTCCCGTCTATTTTTCAGAGAAAAGGTCAATTATTTCTGAACTTCACTTACATTTTAAAGAGCTTGGACCAACTTTTATTTCATTGTTATATATTCACACTAACTTGCAATGTGTTTGAATAAAGAAATAAACGTATGGCTAAACAAAATTAATTGAGATAAGTCAGTTGAGTCATTTTTGCTAAAAATGCAACACAATTTCTGGGATGTATCAAAAATATTTGTCTTAAAGCTGTTCACAGAACTGCAGCAACATATTATCTCATTGTCTGGAAATAGTGTGATGTTCTGCATCGTTGTCTGCAAGTTTAGTCACTCCCATCTGTTTCTTGTCCAAATAGCTCTGATTAATGAATAAAACAGTGAACACAGAGAAAGAAAGAGGCAACTTTAATGGAGTATATTTTTCTGACTAACCTATGTAGTACATTCTAATATATTTAAAGTTGTGTGTTATTTATGTTTCATGTAATGCCTAACACCAATTCAATGAAAATCTGAATCGCCATAGGTGATCAGATACAACTAATGATCCTCCAGATTGTCTATTAATAATGCAGCTGCAGGGATCCATGTATTATGAGACCGTGCCTTTAAACAAACAGGAACACGTAGGGATTCACAAGATAACACCTTGATTCAATATCTGGTGTTGTGATACATCATCATTTATGCAAGCCATCTGACGGACGTGTGTGTGTGTGTGTGTGTGTGTGTGTGTGTGTGTGTGTGTGTGTGTGTGTGTGTGTGTGTGTGTGTGTGTGTATGTGTGTGTGTGTGTGTGTGTGAGACTGTGACTGTGTGTTTTGGACGCATGCTGTAGCATCTGCAGAACCTGCTTTAGATGAATATAAACCTTCCCAAGCTGCTAGATATGTAAAGAAGCTAAGTAATGTTTGTGTGTGTTTATGATGCATTTGCCCCACTCTTTGTTCTCTGTGTGTGTGTGTGTGTGTGTGTGTGTGTGTGTGTGTGTGTGTGTGTGTGTGTGTGTGTGTGTGTGTGTGTGTTGGAGATTTGAGGTCTTCGTATGGAAGCATTTTCCCTCCTCTGCTCCTCTGACTTGCAAGCAGCCCAGTGAGACAGCAAAGGACAACCACTGCTGAATGACAACAATTATTAGAATCAATGACGTCTTCTGGCATTATCTTATTATTCACCAGACAAAGCAGAAGTACTTCTGAAGGCAAGGCAAGTTTATTTATATAGCACCTTTCAACACAAGGCAATTCAAGGTGCTTTACAAAAATGAAAGACATTCAGACAAAGGCATTTGAAAACAGTCATTAAAAAGAAAAGATAATAAAAGAAACATTAAAAGAAAAAATACATTAATAATAAAAAGTACATGAATAAAAAGTTACAGTGCAGTTTAAGATATGAATAGTTCACACAGAAGTTCTACTTTACTGATGCCTTTCTTTAAGGTTTCTCCGAACATGAGCTGTGTACGCTTGTATGGCACATACGTCCCGAGCAGCATACACAGAGAAAATCAGCCAGGACAAAGTCCCCAGACACTGATTCCCTGGGGTTACTAGCCCCAAATGTTCATTAACCAAAAATGAAACACAACCACTCAGTTTCAATTAAAAGCAGCGACAAAAAGAAAAGTCTTCAGCCTGGATTTAAAAGTAGTCAGAGTTGCAGCGGACCTGCAGGTTTCTGGGAGTTTGTTCCAGATATTTGGAGCATAATAACTGAACGCTGCTTCTCCATGTTTAGTTCTGACTCTGGGGACAGAAGGCTGACCAGTCCCTGAAGACCTGAGAGATCTGGATGGTTCATAATTTAGCAGGAGGTCAGAAATGTATTTTGGGCCTAAACCATTCAGTGCTTTATAAACCAGCAGCAGTATTTTGAAATCTATTCTTTGACACACAGGAAGCCAGTGTAAAGACTTCAGAACAGGAGTGATGTGATCCACTTTCTTAGTGTTAGTGAGGACTCGAGCAGCAGCGTTCTGAATTAGCTGCAGCTTTCTAATAGATTTTTTAGTGAGACCTCTGAAGACACCATTACAGTAGTCGATTCTACTGTAATGGTGTCTTTGCAGGTCTCACTAAGATAAAAACATGGACAATCTAATCTTTGTAAACAGCACCTATATCACACTATGTTCACTGTTTCTATAGAAGTTTGGCAATGGTCGTTTACCAAAGATGTGTATAGCAAATATGAGAGCTGATTGATTTTACCCAGACACTGTTTTTATTTAACCTCCACTTGTTTTATGTTCAGCATAAACAAACATTGAATTATTTATTCTATCTGTTATTTTCCTCGCGAAATAACTGCAAGTTCTTGAAGTTATTTTCATCTCATCATTTCCATGTCCTCATTATTTCTGCTTAAAATAATCCTGTATGACCTATACACAACGCAGAATACAACTCCAATAGATAGTTGCTAAGAGAGCTTGTACAAAATAAACAAATATTAATTTAATAGATTTTCCGCAGTTGAGTTGTTTTTTGCTACTTGTCTTGTTTTGTGAAACTCTCGCATAACTTCAGTTGATGTTAGACTTGTTGCTTCCTGCATGATCCAGCATTCGTTCCAGAGTAATTTTGCAGGAGCAGCATTTATTTGCTCCTGAACTCTTTCATCCTGTCCCTTTTTTGCCTGATATAACTTAAGTTGGCAGGGGCCGTTCTGTTATTCTACTTCTGTGTTATCGATTTTGGCCAGCTTTCCTTCTCTTCTTACCCACCTATTCACCTGCTACTTCTCTTCTGTCTTTGTCAAATGAGTTTTTGAAGATGGCCCTTCTTTGACCTGTCTTTTGTAGAGTCCTTTCTAAATTACTTCTTCCAAGAAGTCAGCACATTTACTGAGGGAAATGTCCTTTTTATCTGTTACTGCTCATATTGACCCAGACCTTTCTTCCTCAGAGGATGGCAAGTTTCCTGAAGCAGTGCGTGTGCTGTTGACCTGGCTGGAGAGAGGGGAAGTCAACCGAAGGAACGCCAACAACTTCTACTCCATGATCCAGGCGTCCAACGGCCACATCCGCCGGCTGACGGGCGAGAAGAGTCAGCATGAGAATGAGGTGGAAGAGGCCAAAGACAAGTTCAAGACTGCGATGGTCACCATTCTTGGTCAATGTGAGTCTTCTTTGCTCAGTCAAAGTGTGTGTTTCTCTCAATCACACACTCTGTAAAGTATGTATTCTATGTCACCACCCACGGGGAATAGCCCACCATCCTACAGGATTTACCATTCAGTTATTGCTCCACACCGGTAACAGGTGCAATCGACCACGCTACACTGCAGTAATTCCCATGACACTTTGCAGTCTGCCGTTTTATCACAGGTCACCGCTCTGTACACGGCATATCAAATTCTCAAATGCACACACACACACACACACACACACACACACACACACACACACACACACACACACACACACACACACACACACACACACACACACACACACACACACACACACACACACACACACACACACACACACACACACACACACACACACACACACACACACCACACACACACACACACACACACACACACACACACACACACACACACACACACACACACACACACACACACACACACACACACGCACACGCACACGCAAGGAATACTTTACAATGATGATATTACTTGCATTTTTTTTGAAGGACACAATTTGTTGTTCCAGGACAAACTGAACTTGATAAGACTCAGTAAGAGACAAATACACTTGAGGCAGATTATATCCTTCTGAAAACAGATAAAGAATGAATTTGTTTTTATAATGAATTTTTTTAAATTATAGCACACAACTATGAAAATGACTTGAGCCACACTTTCAGTACTACTTCTTTTACTACTGCTATTTCTAACCAAAGCAAAAGTATACTAGCAGTTTGACATTATAGTTGAACAATTATTTTATCATACATTTCCTAAATAAAAGCTTACATAAAGTAGCCCGGCTCTAGACTTTTAAACCTGACTTAACATATGAGTTGTATTTATTGATTTATTTAAATCTGGTGGTATGGTGACTGACAGCTGTTTTTCTTTGAAGGCAGGATTGATAGAAAGCAACAGTGACATATGGACACGATGTTGATAAGAGCTGTAGTCAACCTACAGAAATCTTTTGTACTCTTAATTTGACATATTTATTTGATAATTGAAACAATGAAGTAAACTACAGCAGCTTCCGTGTCAATTGATAAGGATGTAGTTGGTTATGGTAGAAGAAAATACCTCTTCTCTCTAAATAAATGAAATGAAACTAAATGGAAATGCAGTCTGATAGTCAGGCTAATGATGCTGAATGATGCCACATGAGACCGATAGTGCTTAGTTAAAAATAATTAGCAGTTAACATTCATTCATTAGTCAGGGATGTATTAGACTTAACATAATAATGTGAGGTAACTAACAACAGATTCTGATTCAAAGTAACAACCTCAGTGTTAAAGATGCAATAATTACACTTCAACAACACCTTAATTAAATTGTACAACATAGTAACCTAGTAAACAATAAGGCAGGTGCAGAGGTGTGACTAAAAGTTACATTTTAGGCCATATTCTGATTTTCCTTTACTTATAACAACATAATGGCCCGATATTGAAGTAAAAAATAAGCCTTTTTTAATAAACAATGTAAATAAAGTACTGTATTCAGCGTATAATGTGTGAAGGAATCCCTGGGGATACCTCTACCATTTATCTCTTGCATTCGTTCAGGTTGTTTATCTTGATATAACACCGCCCTTCCGTACACTCAACACAATGTTCTCTTTTTTCCCTTTTATCTGATGCATTGTAATATATTCGACATGTGTTCAATGACAAAAGGCACAATAAAGTGTGAATAGGGAGTTAAATGGCATGAAACAACAATAGTGAGGATCTGTCATTTGAGATGCTTGATGCATAATGATAGGCGTAATTGTGTTGATACGTCCTACAGGTTTGGAAAGGGTAGATTGAAGGGTGTTACAACCTCCTAGGACTTTTTCTTTATTTTCCTCTCTCTCATTGTATGTCTCTATTCCTCTTTGTCAGTCACCCTCACCCTCTTTCTTCCGGTGTTTCTCATTAAAGGCCTTCCACATCCAACACAATAATCCATACAAACACTTATTTCTATTCATGAGTTTGTCTTTCGCCCGGCGTCCACCCATGCAAATGCCAACACTGAGATTGAACCCCCATGAGGCAGTTTCCAAACCACACCTGTGAACAAAAGAAACATCCATATTTACAAGGCTCCGGCTTTTGTCACAGAGTGCCAACCAAGGACACAGTATTATAGGCACTCTCACGTCTGTCACCTTGAAGAGAATTACCTTTATTGTCCCTGGTCTCTTTTCTTTTTTTAAGTGGTCAATTTACTCAACGTCGTAGCAATAATACATGTTATCCAATAAGATGTAGGTTCCACTACCAACATATGACGTAGCAGTGATGCAAACATTGAGTAGAAATTTATGAAATGACTGTATTCATTCATACTTTGTATAGGGATATTTCAGATACTTTGAGCACATTTTGCGCACCTTTACTATAAATGTAACATATGGACCACCTACGGAGCCACACAAACAATGTTAACAGGTGGACTGAGTCGGATTCCTCCCTTACTTAGCTAGCTGACAACATTTCCTGCCCCAAAATCACAACAAACGAGTATTATCCATCAAAGCACTTTTATATACAGTGGGGCAAAAAAGTATTTAGTCAGCCACCAATTGTGCAAGTTCTCCCACTTAAAGAGATGAGAGAGGCCTGTAATTTTCATTTTCAGTATACCTCAACTATGAGAGACAAAATGAGAAAAAAATACAGAAAATCACATTGTCTGATTTAAAAAAATGTATTTGCAAATTCCATCCATCCATCCATCTTCTCCCGCTTATCCGTGGTCGGGTCGCGGGGGTAGCAGTTCCAGCAGAGAGCCCCAAACTTTCTTTTCCCTGGCGACATCAACCAGCTCTGACTGGGGGATCCCAAGGCGCTCCCAGGCCAGCGAAGAGATATAATCCCTCCACCTGGTCCTAGGTCTACCCCTTGATCTCTTCCCAGCTGGACGTGCCTGGAACACCTCCCTAGGGAGGCGCCCAGGTGGCATCCTAACTAGGTGCCCGAACCACCTCAACTGGCTCCTTTCGACGCGAAGGAGGAGCGGCTCAACTCCGAGTCCCTCCCTGATGACCGAACTTCTCACCTTATCCCTAAGGGAGACACCAGCCACCCTGCGGAGAAAACCCATCTCGGCCGCTTGTATTTGCAAATTATGGTGGGAAATAAGTATTTGGTCAATAACAAAAGTTCATCTCAATACTTTGTTATATACCCTTTGTTGGCAATGACAGAGGTCAAACGTTTTCTGTAAGTCTTCACAAGGTTTTCACACACTGTTGCTGGTATTTTGGCCCATTCCTCCATGCAGATCTCCTCTAGAGCAGTGATGTTTTGGGGCTGTCGCTGGGCAACACGGACTTTCAACTCCCTCCAAAGATTTTCTATGGGGTTGAGATCTGGAGACTGGCTAGGCCACTCCAGGACCTTGAAATGCTTCTTACGAAGCCACTCCTTCGTTGCCCGGGTGGTGTGTTTGGGATCATTGTCATGCTGAAAGACCCAGCCACGTTCCATCTTCAATGCCCTTGCTGATGGAAGGAGGTTGTCATTCAAAATCTCACGATACATGGCCCCATTAATTATTTCCTTTACACGGATCAGTCGTCCTGGTCCCTTTGCAGAAAAACAGCCCCAAAGCATGATGTTTCCACCCCCATGTTTCACAGTAGGTATGGTGTTCTTTGGATGCAACTCAGCATTCTTTCTCCTCCAAACACGTCTAGTTGAGTTTTTACCAACAAGTTCTATTTTGGTTTCATCTGACCATATGACATTCTCCCAATCCTCTTCTGGATCATCTAAATGCTCTCTAGCAAACTTCAGACGGGCCTGGACATGTACTGGCTTAAGCAGGGGGACACGTCTGGCACTGCAGGATTTGAGTCCCTGGCGGCGTAGTGTGTTACTGATGGTAGTCTTTGTTACTTTGGTCCCAGCTCTCTGCAGGTCATTGACTAGGTCCCCCCGTGTGGTTCTGGGATTTTTGCTCACCATTCTTGTGATCATTTTGACCCCACGGGGTGAGATCTTGCGTGGAGCCCCAGATCGAGGGCGATTATCAGTGGTCTTGTATGTCTTCCATTTTCTAATAATTGCTCCCACAGTTGATTTCTTCACACCAAGCTGCTTACCTATTGCAGATTCAGTCTTCCCAGCCTGGTGCAGGTCTACAATTTTGTTTCTGGTGTCCTTTGACAGCTCTTTGGTCTTGGCCATAGTGGAGTTTGGAGTGTGACTGTTTGAGGTTGTGGACAGGTGTCTTTTATACTGATAACGAGTTCAAACAGGTGCCATTAATACAGTTAACGAGTGGAGGACAGAGGAGGCTCTTAAAGAAGAAGTTACAGGTCTGTGAGAGCCAGAAATCTTGTTTGTTTGTAGGTGACCAAATACTTATTTTACTGAGGAATTTACCAATTAATTCATTAAAAATCCTACTGTGTGATTTCCTGGATTCTTTCCCCCCATTCTGTCTCTCATAGTTGAAGTGTACCTAGGATAAAAATTACAGGCCTCTCATCTTTTTAAGTGGGAGAACTTGCAAAATTGGTGGCTGACTAAATACTTGTTTGCCCCACTGTATATTGGCACCACTATTAGGCTGTCCCGTCTGCCACTACTTCTTAGGCATTCTTTCCATTTGAAGCGCTGACTTCCCATTTCACACCTGTTTCAGCTAACTGGTCAGGGAATACAAGACCTTGTGGCTGTGTCCCTGTTATAAGGGAAAAAAAAAAACCTGACAGGAGTATTGTTAGGTTTCCGAGAAGTGACTGGAGATGAGAACCCGCTATGCAAGCACTACAACGGAGACTGTGGTGAAGTGTCATAAAGGCTTTATTTTGTCCACGACACTGACCAGGGGGGTATACTACGAAGCAGGATTTTCGCTTAGCCGGCTAAATTCAGGGAAAACTCCGGCTTTCCGGTCCTACGAAGCTGGTTCTCTTTTTAGCAGGCTAGATCTCCATGGTAACTTATGCTTAGCGGCTAACCTGCCCCGGAGCAGGTTAGGTTGCAGGCTAAGAGCTCAACTCAGTGAAAGCACTGCCTGCTGACCAATCAGAGCTCAGTGTGCGGAGTTTAAAGCGATCAAGTCATATTACAGGAGAAAGGAAATACAGAAAAGCTGCCGTCGCAGGAAAGACGGCCGGCAAAAATCACCGACTGTGTGAACGTGAACATTAATAGAATATCACCTCCCATCTTCAGAGCAATCTGACTATTATAACATTAGCGTTAAGAAAGCTTACTTAAATATATGCCATATGCCACAACATAAGTAACCGGATCAGAGTAACATTAAGTAGGCCTACAGTCCAAGGCATATCACTTCATAATGTATCATATATTTCCTTATCTGAGTCAGCTGAGACGTATCTGGCCGTGCAACACTCACAGTGTCACATACTGTATGCAGAAGTATTATTTTAAGCAACACATTAAGTTGACGAAACACTCGAGACAAATGTAATTAAAGTCAGATCGTGTTTTAGACGGGGCCGTGATATCATAAACCTGTTAATGTACGCATTCAAACACTTTTTCTTTTGCTAGCTGTATTCACCTGTAGGTGCAGCTATGTGGCTTTTATCCTGGATAAAGTGTTTAAGTCATGGATGTTTAAAGTTTAACTTCTTCATTTTTGACTAGTATTAAAGTTCACTTTTCATTCAGGAAGTATGACGCTGCGCTGTCAGTACGCTTCTCCATGTTTGTGATTGGTCGAATGCTCCAGATACCACCCCTTTCATGTGAACGCGCACCTAACTAGATAGGAAACGGCTGGCTTGAGCGATCCACTTGATAACCCACGTCGTAGTACAGTTTAGCGAGAGCGCGTATGTTTTGGATTAGGCCAACCGACTAACTCAAACATATCCAGGTTAGGTTGAGCCAGCTTCGTAGTATAGGCCCCAGGAGTTGACGAAGCAAACGTAGAGGGAAGACGTAGAGCTGGGCTGCTCTGGAGGGGAGGCTGGACGTGGCAGGCAGAGCGGCTGGAGTATGTAGATCTGGAACAGGAAAAACAAGCAGGATTAGGAAATGATCTCCCTTCACTAGGAGCATCAAAAAAGTCACTAGGAAAAAACACTAGTAGGCCTGGACGATAGTTTACCACTGAAGAATAAACGAAGAACTGGCGAAGTCTGAAGATGGGAACCAGGGTTTTAAGCAGGTGCAGGTGAGTAGTGGCAATCAGTGAGATAAGCAGCAGCTGAGGCGGTGAGTTGGCGGGAATCGGAATGTAGGTAACCACGCCCAGCCAGGGAGACAGACACATAGACAAACAGACAAAACAAACACAGACAGGGGAAAAAGAAGGAGGAAGTACTGCAGATCCTCACAAGTATTGCTGCTACCACAGGCTGTGTCGTGGCACTCAGCACGCTCCGTCTCTGACATGTCTTGCTAGGCTTGACTGCCCTTCTATCAAAAAAATAGGGAAGGTCTCCTGGGTGCTTTGCTCTCACCAGAGGGATTGTTTCTCCACACAATGCTCCCAGAGAGGAGGTGGAAAAATCCTAGTCAAAGCTTCCTCTTCTTCTGTTCCACACTACCTACTGCATTGGAAGGAAAGGATGCTCTATGTTTGGATTTGGCCCCTATGCCCCATAATGTCTACAGCCAAGGCATATCCCACCATTAGGGTTGGGCACTAAAACTAGAACATGTTGGAAATCAGTTGGATACTGTAGATAATTTTTCTGCCATGTTGGAAAAAAGATTCTAGATTTTAGTTGATGTAAATAATTGAGCTCCATGGCAGTGCCAGGTATAACAAATCCTGCCAATAACAAATGAATAAATACATACTTACATGTAGGTGGAGCACCGATATATACCTAATTTCTTCGCATGGAAAGACATATTAAACAAACATGAACGTTATTATTAATGCCAACACCTAAAATCAGGTTTATTGCCAAGTAAGTTAACACATACAGGGAATTTACTTTGATATATAATGGAGCAAACATAAACAAGAAAGAGAAAGGTACTGTACACCCACACAGACATACATACATACAAACACACACACTTGTATATACACATGTTCCCAAGGCTTAACTATAGTTTTCCAAACATTTGGTTTACCTACGCTGAAAAATGTATTATCTCTTCGATTTACACACGGCATCTATTGCACGTCTGTCCGTCCTGGGAGAGGGATCCCTCCTCTGTTGCTCTCCCTGAGGTTTCTCCCATTTTTCCCTTTAAACTGTGGGTTTTTCTCTGGAAGTTTTTCCTTGTACGATGTGAGGGTCTAAGGACAGAGGGTGTCGTATTGTCATACTGATACTCTGTACAAACTGTGAAGTCCATTGAGACAAATGTAACATTTGTGATATTGGGCTATATAAATAAACATTGATTGATTGATTGATATAAAAGCTTATATATACAGTATATACTGCCATAACATAAATACATGGTAATATCAATACACCATAATCTAGCCCTGAGCTGATGCAGTCTTAACCCTGAACATATCAATAGTAGGCAGTATGGAGTATGTGATGGTGGCAAGATGCATTGAGCTCTACAGCAAGCTTGTTGTTTTTATGATGTTATTGCATTGAGTGATGGAGGGAATCCATTCAGATGAAATGCTGAGTTCACTGTCTTGAGCTGTAGTCTAACAAGATATCCTCCAAGTGCCTGGATGGTCTCTCCAGAGGAGGAAGGAAAGCTGCTAGTCAGCAAAAAAACATTGATAGAGTTTATCTTGGCATCTTATGAAAGCTGAAATATTTATGATTCTAAATTAAGCCTGCTGGCTTGGACAGCCATCACATAAGACATTTGCCACAGGTGAGTAGATTAAAGATTGATTAAAGATTGACTGAACATCAGTTAGATGCTGAATATCTACAAAGAGAATTTATTTTATTTTATTTTCTCTTTTAGCTTTGGTGGTTAGGTTTTAAAGGAATCTTAAATGTCGGACTGAAACAAATCGTCGTTCTAACATCATTAATAAAGGAGCTGGCTGTAAACATTCCACATGCACATTCCTTAGAAAACCAGGCTTCAAATATGAAAAAGCCTTAGATATGTCATATGCTGTATATTGTTGTCTTAAATGTCTAGGTTCTTGTTTTATACATTTTCCCAATCTGAGCTGCTTTTTCTCATTTCATCAAACAACAAACGATGTGGGTCGTTTGTTGCCCTATTGTATATGACAAACAAAACTCTAAAATGCACATTTGCCTCTGTGAGTGTTGTTACATAAAGAGATGACTGAGATTTCTCATAGCTCCCAACTGCAATATGCTGTAATTTAACATTTGGCTCGTAAACATTTTGCACATTATGTCCTATATCCCAAATGACTCTCAAAATTAGAACCAGATTTTCACTAAACCATATTGTGTAGTGTCACACAGAGGATATTGCTTCTTTGTTTAAAAGTTTGCTCCTTCGCCTTAGAGAAAACTAAAATGATGATGTAGTATTTTGTTGTTTCTTTATTTGCTTTTGAGTCAACCTACCATCTGCTTTTGCCAGAAACATTGTGAGCTTTCATGCAATTTGCAGTCAAAGAACAACATCTTATTTCAATTTGTGGCTCTCTTAACACAATATAACTGAATATGTGGAATGATACAACATGGAAAATGCAGTTTAGGGGCAGAATATTCTGTAAATGTTTTTATAAATGGATGTCACACTGTACAATATCTAAAAATGAATGTGAAAATGACTTGATTAGGCTCCACTTAGCATTTCAAACTATAAATCGCACAATATGGTTTATTATCTTTTCCATTATCTTCCAATAAAACAGATTCAATTTCAAGGACAGTAGTCACATTTAGCTCCTAGCATTTTTCCTTAGCAACTAGCGATCTCTCATTGGACCCACTATTAGAACCAATTTCACAAGATAATAAACATTTCTGTGTCTTTAATAATTGCACCATTTTAAGATAATATATTGTCTGTAGAAGACAGAGTATTCATTGGTTTTCACGCTCCAGGCATATAGGTGAGGAGAATGTGAAAGTCAGTAGGTGGTACGGATTATAGACAACACGTTAAAACATTTTTGCTTCACATCTACTTGCATTAAAACCTCACTCCTCCATGAATTATAAATGAATGTTGAACTTTGAAGAACAAAATAATGACACAAAGTTTCTTCACAGTCAAGAGTTGTTGATCCTACGCATCTGTCAAGGCGACTTCTGTCAAGGCGACTTCTGTCGAGGCGACTTCTTTCGATGCGAGAACTTTGCTGTATAAATATTATCAAAAGCGCACGCACCACAACTGATCAAGACAAGATGAGAATACGATCCGAAGAGTTTACCTTAGCTGATCTTTTTATGATGGTTTTAAACAAGTTGTAATGGGTGTCCCTGTGTCATGCTATGTGTCTATATATTTATGTGTGGAACTTACCACACAAAATGTATCCATATTTGACACAGGTCAGAAACATATAAGAGACACACAGCTCGTTTCCCTGCGGCTTAATTAGTTATTTAACACATTTCTTTCTTTCTTTCTTTCTCATTCTTCCCCTTCCCTACTTCTACTCATTTGTTCTGCCTCACCAAAGTTGAACAGATTGTGTCTGTATTCCACGCTGCGTCCAAACAAAAGGCATGGGACCATTTCTCCAAAGCGCAACGGAAGAACCTGGATTTATGGCGCACCCAGGTGGAGGTTGGTACTTTAATGTTTAAGGATGTTTTAGCGTTGCAACAACAAGAATGTACAGTATGTAGCTTGTGGTAATTTTGGTGTTAAGGGTCTGCTTTGCGGTGATAAGATCAATACATCTTGTTTTTGAACCTTTTGCAGTAGAGAAAAACAAAGATAAACTATTTTTGTAATAACAGCAAAGGGGCCTAACATGGAACCCTGAGGAACTCTCAAGCAAGGAGGTTGATTCTACCAATTCTACTAAATTGCCTGGCTTAGCGTGAAAATGTTTAATCCCACTAAAAAGTTGGGTCAACATATAATTTCATCTACTAAAATCTGATTTTAATTAGGTGAAAACAAATATATTTTTAAATTCGGTTCAAAATTAAATATATTTTTTTGGGTGAAAACATTTTATACTTAAACCTTTTGCGGGTTGAAAAAGATAAAACATAAACTTGAACTTTGAACTTTTGAACTTGAAACTTGAAAAGACTCTGCATTTCATCTTTCCAAAGTGTATTTTTGTAATACCAGAGTAATGAAAAAATAAGCAAAGGCGGGCCTTAAATTCAACCCTGAGGAACTCCCAAGAGCTCTAATTTATTTGAAAATTGCCTGGCTTAGAGTGTATAAAGTTGACCCAACAAAAAATATAGATACAAATTAAATTACTTAAATGTATTTTTCAATAAGGTATAACATACTTGTTTTTCCTGCCATGCATATATTAACTACTTGTAAGAAGTATAGGTTTCATACAAAACTTAAGCTCAAATTATGCACAATTGACTGAGGAAAATATTATGAATTATGTAATTAAATCACATTGCAGGCAGAATCAATACAACAACAACAACGTGTATTGATAACACATGTCATGACACATGCTTAAACAGATTTCATGTAAATACCAGGTATTAATTGGTTGTAAAGTTCCTACATTATTGAATAGTTATTGGTCTTTGAGACAGAGAGATCGAAATACCGTTTCCTACAATCCCGAATCCAAAAACAAATATATATAAAAAAATATGTATATACCTATATATACACACAATCAAAAGACACATTTATACATATGCACACATTAAGACATAAATAAAAGCACAACAATCAATATATACAAAATAACAGTCTCTTCAATATCTTTGAGAATGTACATTAGTGCAAGACTGTCCATAGCAGCGTAATAAAACTGGCATAGCTTTATTTGTATGTACTTTCAGACAAATGCCACGTTAATTATGGCGAACATGTGTATTTAATGGAGTCTGTGGTCTGTTTTATTAATGGTGCAGCATTAGCTATAGATCTCATTGGTGAGGTTTTGATCTGCGGAGTATAGAAAGTATTGAGTTAGGGATGTAATCAACAACTAGATATTACACACACAAACCACTGCATATAAAGTGTTATATCTACACACAGAAAACGCATGTCATTGCAATTAAAGCTTTGCCACAGCATGTGGCTGAAACAATGTATCTGTTGAATGTCAATGAGGCTCTAGTCCTAGTCTTTGTGAATATTCATGTACAGTATCAAAAGAGAATAGCGTTCATTCCACTCCATCCCCCACAGAACTATGAAAATGCTAATACATTTTCCAGAAATAGATCTATGACATTAACAAGCATTCAGAACCGCTGCTGGGAGTCGTCCACATTAGAGTGTTGATACATTAATCACACTTTACACTTTAACCCACGAATATTGATTTGCTGTTAGGCGGAGCACCATGCCTCTACACGTTGTTAAATCCCTTGTGTAATGACAGTAGCCTTTGCATCACAGAGCGACCCTGTGCGCTCTGTGATGCAAAGGCTAGTGTGTGTTCAGATCCCCATGTTTGTTACTGCTGCTGTTGAAAAGCCTCTTGTGTTTAACATAAGTGTAAATCAGCTCCTGAATTATTATGGGTGCCTCAGTCAGGCTGGGTGTCGTTCCCATCACTGTATCCATAATAAGACAAACTGCCTCACCATCTGTACTCCAGCCAGACTGCAGCAGAATATAGCCATTACTCTGTCTAAACACGATTTATACTTGATGCTCTTTTAGTTGCCTAAATTAAGTGAATCTAATTCTAATAAGTCACGATTTACCTCTGTTGTTTTCTTCCCTTTCAGTAAATGTTTCTATTCTTTCATGCATGCTGTTTTCCTTTTAATTATCTCATCAAATCTCTATCCACTCTTAAATTAAGCCGTGCAATTGTAAAGTTTTTTATGCATTTTAACTCTGCTCAATGAAACTTTTCAAATAAGAAGAACATGTTAACAATAGTATGCATTGTTTGCATGTTGGGAACAAACTTGAAGGGTCATGGCTGGAGAGTATGGGAAGTCAGAGTTTGTCTGAATGTTGGTCTACGGAGGCTGTGGCTCTGTGGATAGTGTGATGGACTTCGAATCAGGGGGTAGCAAGTTCAAACCCCACTGCAGTCAGCATGTCGTTGTGTCCCTGAGACACTTCACCCCAAATTGCTCCTGTGGGGATTGCCCACAGTATTGAGTATGTAAGTCTCTTTGGATAAAAGTGTTTAACAAATGTAATGTAATGTCTATCCCTTTGGTCTTGAGTGAAACATCTCAAATTGTATCTCTGGTAATACTTTTACCTTTTATTAATAGCTCTATTTGTTTTTTTATTTTTATTGGATTATCTTGTTTTGAAAAGCAATATTTGTAACTTTGTTGAAAGGCTTGATGCATTGTAAAGCCATGGAGAATCAGTTAAACCAATGTATCCGTAGAGGCTTCGACTGACAAATAAATCATGTGTACTGACAAAATGTCACGTCCCTTCATGCGCTCACTAAGGTAAAGCATGTTATGTCACTTAAGAGACAGCAGACTTCCCTCCTCTTTGACATGGCACAGGAAATTGAAGTGAACAAATTGAAAGCAAGACAGTTGAAGAAAACAAATATAGAGATCTAACCACCTTGGCCGTCATTCCATGTTGTGTTCTTTGTGTTGTTAATTTACCCGTGGGATTTTTTTAGAAAAGGTATAAACTATAAATATTTGTAGTTATTTAACATTACGTATGTGACAAAAATACATTAGAAAGGTTTTTTAAGTGTTTATTCCCATGAATACTTACAATAATTATAGGATGGCATTTGAATGGTTTTCGTTGTGTTAACATTAAGGCGTCAGATTCATGAAGGACTCGTTTTCTCTGATCGTTAGTTCTTTAACATTCTCAATAGCCTGTTTTAATCCTGCTGTCTTTTATCTGTACTATACTTTCACACTGCATTAACCAGGTAAGAGAGTCCTTGTGCCCTCCAATGTGATATGGTATAGAACGGATGTATACATATCAGGCTAATAGAGTAAGATAGGGGTCACTATGATCTTTCTACAGGTCAAACTGTACCAGGCTACATTGTCATTATTTATTTTTGTATTGTAAATATTTCTCAAATGTGAGATTCAGTGGCTGATATGTATCCCCCTGTTGCCATTTTCATCTCCTGACAAATGCAGCATATGTGTGTATGCTTGTCGGATGTTGTCATCCAGCTCCCTAGCCCAGATGTGAGTGTGTATATTTAGGCTATATGCTTGCATGTTCAGCCCCTGTGAACCTTGAGCTGAAAGACTCTAAACAGATGGCTGTGTGTGTGTTCTGCAGTACTTTGCAGTATATTCACAATGCATACGTTTAAATGCCTTATGTTTTCTGTGTTTTGCAGAAGATTAGAAACATGCACAATGAGCAGCTGATGGGCATCAGGGGAGAAGAGGAGATGGAAATGTCTGACGATGATATGGAGGACTGCTCTGCTACCAACAGCAAAGACTCTGAGGACTCAGGTACAAATATTTTTAATGAGGTTGACATTAAGCATACTACCAGCTGATTCTGTACATACCACTATTGTTTTGGCCAAAATGTTATATTATCTGACCATCAAAAAATGGGTGTTTTTGTTTGCTGGTCACAAATGACTTTATGGCATAGGAGGTGGAAGTTAACCTTTGACCCACTCCATCATTTCATTCTTCTCTCTGGAGCACAGGATAGGTCGTATGCAATGTTTCAATGTGTTCATGAAATACATTTTGGGAAGTGTAGGAAATCACTAAGTATAGTTGAAAAAGTGAGGTCAATCAAATTTGCTGCACAAAATTGCATTACAGCTGTCTCTCCACAAAGAAATCATAGAATCTTAAATCACAAACACAGAGGGTGAACCGAGCCTGTATTACCTCTGAAGAAAATCTGTAATCTGATATTAGAAACAAGCAACACAATAACAGATAAAAGAAGCTGTGCAGAACGGAAATAAAGCTAATCTTTTGAAATATCTTTTCTGAAGGAAAGTCTCGCCCTTTAGGCTTCATATTGGGAGATGCTTTGTTATTATTACTGCAGTGAATCTCTGCACTGATAAATCTGATATGCGACCAACAATAGAACCTGTGAAATTAAACAGGGAATAAGGCTAGCATAGCTGAAGCCTCTTCTAATGAAAATATGTCACATTGGGGGCGTACTTTGTGGAATTTTATGAATTATGTAGGTTGGGTATAGAGTAAACAATGTGCACAGAGTCACATAAGCACAAAGAAGCTGCAAAATAAATCTCAAATCCCAAGTTATGGCTCAAGGTTTCCTGTCACAGCACACAGATTAATGGGGGAATAAACTGTTTGTAGTGACCACGATATCCATTTGTTTTTTGTCCTTTGTTTGTGGCTCACTCGTGGGGCTGACCGACGAATAGACGCTTGTAGTTTGAGAGAAAAAATATAAATGTCCAGATGCGATTGAAAAGTAAGATAGTTTATTCCAAAAAAGGCAAAAATAAATAAACGTTTTTAAACAAACTATTTGTCATATAAACTGATATTTCAATGTTAAAGGCAGAAGAACCAAGCTGTGATGCTCCCAACCAGCAAGGTCTAAAAACTGTCAGCCACACCAGTAGGCTGCAGCACCTCTCCTTTTATGCTGCAGCATCTCGACCTGCAGAGTAACGCACTCAAATAATAAATAAATAATATACACCACAGAATCTGAAGTATTAAAGTAACATGTTCTCATTCATAACACTCCGTTCGATGTCTCACTATGGGATGCGCCTCATCGCGGAGCAAACAGAAGCATCAATCTCATTACGCCAATCCTGATTGGCTGGTGATCTTGACGTCAGCGTCAGGGAATTCACCCCCTATAAGTAGCTTGCGCCACGACGCATGCGTCATTCAAACACCTCTTCTCGCTTCAGAGCACATCTCTATAGTAGCCGGACAAGCTTAACGGTCCACAGACTGAACCCAAATAACCATTTCGGTCGACGGGCGCTCGCCGGCTACTCCTTCTGCTTTGCAGGAAGACGGTAATACTAACGCCAGTTAGTATTGAAATCAACCTCGCCGTTCTCTTTCCCCGGAAAGTAAGGTAGGTCTGATTTTTTCAAGCTAGCGTTAGCTCGCTCCCTCACTATCGACACCACGGTAGCGAGGAAGTTTTTTCTTTTCTCTTCCCCACGGAGGAGGAAAGGATTAAAAGGAGCATACTGCCACACCAGTCAGTATTCTCCGGGAATAAAAGACCCACACCGTCCTTTTCTCCGGATTAAGGACAGGGTGGTAACACCTTTTTTCTCCCAACCTACCTGTTGAGAGCGGGTCCTCTCCACGCCACGAGGCGAACAAGATGGACGCCTCTCTCCCTCACACCAGAGGAGTCAGGGACTCGGTGGCTCGACTCTGTGGCTGCGGTTTGAAGATCTCGGGCACAGACACACACCAGGTCTGCTCGTCCTGCCTCGGGCTGGAACACGCCCGAGGTGCTATCGACAACATTGTGTCCGCTTCACCGTGAAGAGCCTCCGCCGACAGCTAGCACGCCAAGCTAGCCTGTCGGAGCAGGACCCCCCCCATGTCCACTGACCTGCCGGCCGGCAGTTAAGACGCGGGGGCGTCCGCCGCAGAGAGTGAACCCCTCTCCGTGTCGGTCTGGGGCTCATTATCTGCGATGGCTGCAGAACCGGAATCCCGCGCCCTGGCAGGCCGGGACCCGGTGACGGCAAGACACGCGGGAACGGGACCCCACGCTTTACCGAGCTGGGGCTCCCGGTTAGACCTCACCATGGTCTCACCCGCGGAGGATGTCCTCGAGCTGGACTACGATGAGGACGAAGAGGACGCCTCGGTGTTCCTCCTGTCCGAGTCGGATGAACATGAAGAGGACATCTTCATGTCATCGGCTCAGGCTGCAAAGCCTGGAGCGAGGGCTGCTCTCCCGGGCGATAGCACACCAGCTTCGCCCTGTCTGAGCATGGACCTGCAGGCCGTGTGTAAACGCGCCGCGGCCAGACTCGACATCCCGTGGCCTGAAATGGCCAAGGAGACCTCCAGGTCCTGCTACGAAGGAAACATTTTCCCCAAGCAGCGCGGACAAAGAGGCAACTCCTTCCGGTCTTCCCGGAGATGTTGGATGAGGTGTCGGTCTCGTGGAGAGACCGGCCCTTCAGCAACAAGGTCCCAATCCAGGGTGCCTCCTCCCTAGACTGTGACGGAATGGAGAAGCTCGGCCTGCTCCGCATACCGCCCATGGAACCGCTGATAGCGGCCCACCTCCTACCGAGGATGGGCCCGTCACCAAGCAGGAACCCCACGCTGCCAGCAAAGTCGGACCGAGTTCAGTCGACAATGACTGAACGGTCCTACAAAGACGCAGCGTTGTCCGCCAGGGCCCTGAATGTGTCCTCGCTGCTAACCGCTTACCAAGCGGAGCTCTGCGAGGACCTGTCGGGTAACCCGGGGGCAGCCACTCTGGACGAGATGGCAGCGGTCACGGACATTTGTCTTCGTGTCCAACGCTGCGCCGTCCAGGCCACGGGCAAGGCAATGGGGATCATGGTGGTGCAGGAAAGAGCGAGATGGCTCAACCTCACCAACCTCCCAGACCGGGAAAAGGAGGATGTGCTGGATATGCCCATCGTTCCCGAGGGAATTTTCGGCTCCGCTCTCGCCTCCATGCAAAGGAGGTGTGAGTCGAAAAAGAAGGAGGACGAGGCACTCCACCTCAGCCTCCCTCGAAGGGTACAGCCGCTGCCTTCGCAGCAGCAGTCCTTCGCCCAAGCTGCCTCGAACCCTGCTTGGTTCAAAACACCGAAGACGCAGAGGTCGCAGCCCGCCCCGAGTCCCCAGCCCAGGCTGGAGACGAGGGCGAGCTGGCCTAGAAAATCTCCGGTTCCGGCTGCAGCTCAGGCGCAGCCAACCCAGAATTTCGGCCAGCAGTCGAGGAAGAAGAAGCGAGCGGCGTGACAGCCCCTCCTTCTCCCCTCTGTGACAGAGCTGGAAGTCCACGGTTCCCCAGCTCTAAATGTGTTCCCGCCGCCTCGAGAGATGCCTCAACACCATCCTCAAGTCCGCACAAACACATGTCACCCATTTGTTGATTTTTCTGTCATAAAACATTTGCCGCTGACGCATCCAGGCTTCAGGCCGAGGGCGCAGCTCAAAAAAATGAAAAGAAAAACAATAAAACCAATAAACAGCCCGTCAACTGTTCCCCTTCTGAGAGCAGCTACGGCATCTCTCAAAAGGCGGATTACAGGCGGGTCTGTGAAGGCACCACCGCCACGCGCATGCGCAGTGCCAGCTGGGGTTGTGAAGGCACCACCGTCATGCGCATGCGCAGTGTCGGTGGGGATTGTCGAAAAGGGGCACCACTGTGTTCAGACACTAGAGGGCCCCATAACACAACAAATAGAGACTCAGAGGGGAAGAGACATGACATCTCCACTGGCTCTAAAGGCCCTGACACACCAGGCCGATTTCGGCTGTTTTCGTAAGTCGGGAGACGAAGCGTGTCCTGTCGCCCAAACTCAATTTGGTGTGTCCCGCACCGTCGACCGTGACACACCTGATTTGGACTGCCTGTCCCGATGCATGGCCGATTCCACATGTTGAATCGGCCATGCATCGGGTCTGGCAGTCGGACCAAACAATCACTCTGATTGGCTGTTCAGCTAGCGAATCAGTGCGTGAGAAGCGAAACGGAAGTGAGGGACGTAAACAAACGATTTAAGAAGGCACACACAGACTGATATTCATTTTCATCTCATCATGGCGATCTGGAATGACGCAAACGAAGACCTGCTCATCACATTGATCCAGGAGAGGCAGCTCTGTACGACATCACAGAGAAAAGGTACTCGAACCGAGTAGTGAAAACCGGACTCTGGCGAGAGATTGAAACGCAACTTGGTTTCTCGGGTAAGATTACCTTTTTCATCAATTGAGCTCTTTAGCAGATATTGTTGGCTTTTTATTGTTTGCCAGTGTACAGTGACGTTAACGTGAAATGTAATTTGTTATTTCAACCTTGTGTTTTGTTGTTATCTTGTTGTTAGCTGTTGCTAGCTGTGCAGTTTGGCACTGCATATAGATATGAATTGGACATGCTAACTAGCCACAATGCTTACATCGTTTATTTGTGTGCTTCAGAGAAAGAGCTGAGGAAGAAGTGGGATTCTCTGCGAACCCAGTACACCCGGTACAGGAGACTTGCCCCTTCGGGTAGTTGTGGAGCACCAAAGACGGGCAGACAGCAGTGGATCATAACCAGGCTGCAGTTTGCACACGCTATTTGTTGTTGTTTATATCACGTAGTCTGTTCTTCTTCTCTGTCTTCCGGTTGTTGCCTATTTTTAATGACGAATACACACTACCGCCGCCTGCTGGTAAGGAGAGTTATTGCCACTCACGCACTGAAGTCTTTGCGGTGTGTTCCCGTGCGACACATGGCCAAGACGCAGGAGAACACCACGACGCAACAGCCGACGTCGGCGTCGGCG